AAATCCGCTTCTGATAGTCCTTTGAAAAATATTCTTTTAAAAATCCACGCTTCATCCTGTGATAGTCCTTTGAAAAATATTCTTTTAAAAATCCACGCTTCATCCTGTGATAGTCCTTTGAAAAATATTCTTTTAAAAATCCACGCTTCATCCTGTGATAGTCCTTTGAAAAATATTCTTTTAAAAATCCACGCTTCATCCTGTGATAGTCCTTTGAAAAATATTCTTTTAAAAATCCACGCTTCATCCTGTGATAGTCCTTTGAAAAATATTCTTTTAAAAATCCACGCTTCATCCTGTGATAGTCCTTTGAAAAATATTCTTTTAAAAATCCACGCTTCATCCTGTGATAGTCCTTTGAAAAATATTCTTTTAAAAATCCACGCTTCATCCTGTGATAGTCCTTTGAAAAATATTCTTTTAAAAATCCACGCTTCATCCTGTGATAGTCCTTTGAAAAATATTCTTTTAAAAATCCACGCTTCATCCTGTGATAGTCCTTTGAAAAATATTCTTTTAAAAATCCACGCTTCATCCTGTGATAGTCCTTTGAAAAATATTCTTTTAAAAATCCACGCTTCATCCTGTGATAGTCCTTTGAAAAATATTCTTTTAAAAATCCACGCTTCATCCTGTGATAGTCCTTTGAAAAATATTCTTTTAAAAATCCACGCTTCATCCTGTGATAGTCCTTTGAAAAATATTCTTTTAAAAATCCACGCTTCATCCTGTGATAGTCCTTTGAAAAATATTCTTTTAAAAATCCACGCTTCATCCTGTGATAGTCCTTTGAAAAATATTCTTTTAAAAATCCACGCTTCATCCTGTGATAGTCCTTTGAAAAATATTCTTTTAAAAATCCACGCTTCATCCTGTGATAGTCCTTTGAAAAATATTCTTTTAAAAATCCACGCTTCATCCTGTGATAGTCCTTTGAAAAATATTCTTTTAAAAATCCACGCTTCATCCTGTGATAGTCCTTTGAAAAATATTCTTTTAAAAATCCACGCTTCATCCTGTGATAGTCCTTTGAAAAATATTCTTTTAAAAATCCACGCTTCATCCTGTGATAGTCCTTTGAAAAATATTCTTTTAAAAATCCACGCTTCATCCTGTGATAGTCCTTTGAAAAATATTCTTTTAAAAATCCACGCTTCATCCTGTGATAGTCCTTTGAAAAATATTCTTTTAAAAATCCACGCTTCATCCTGTGATAGTCCTTTGAAAAATATTCTTTTAAAAATCCACGCTTCATCCTCTGACAGTCCTTTGAAAAATATTCTTTTAAAAATCCACGCCTTTGGTGGTCCTTGAAAAAATATCCTTGAAAAAAATCCACGCCTTTGGTGGTCCTTGAAAAAATATCCTTGAAAAAAATCCACGCCTTTGGTGGTCCTTGAAAAAATATTCTTTTAAAAATCCACGCCTTTGGTGGTCCTTGAAAAAATATTCTTTTAAAAATCCACGCCTTTGGTGGTCCTTGAAAAAATATTCTTTTAAAAATCCACGCCTTTGTTGGGCCCCTGAAAAAATGTTGTTTAACAAATCCACGCCTTTGGTGGTCCTTAAAAAAATATTCTTTTAAAAATCCACGCCTTTGGTGGTCCTTAAAAAAATATTCTTTTAAAAATCCACGCCTTTGGTGGTCCTTTGAAAAAAATATTCTTTTAAAAATCCACGCCTTTGGTGGTCCTTTGAAAAAAATATTCTTTTAAAAATCCACGCCTTTGGTGGTCCTTAAAAAAATATTCTTTTAAAAATCCACGCCTTTGGTGGTCCTTTGAAAAAAATATTCTTTTAAAAATCCACGCCTTTGGTGGTCCTTGAAAAAATAATCTTTAAAAATCCACGCCTTTGGTGGTCCTTTGAAACAAATATTCTTTTAAAAATCCACGCCTTTGGTGGTCCTTAAAAAAAATATTCTTTTAAAAATCCACGCCTTTGGTGGTCCTTTGAAAAAAATATTCTTTTAAAAATCCACGCCTTTGGTGGTCCTTGAAAAAATATTCTTTTAAAAATCCACGCCTTTGGTGGTCCTTGAAAAAATATTCTTTTAAAAATCCACGCCTTTGGTGGTCCTTGAAAAAATATTCTTTTAAAAATCCACGCCTTTGGTGGTCCTTGAAAAAATATTCTTTTAAAAATCCACGCCTTTGTTGGTCCTTGAAAAAATATTCTTTTAAAAATCCACGCCTTTGGTGGTCCTTGAAAAAATATTCTTTAAAAAATCCACGCCTTTGGTGGTCCTTGAAAAAATATTCTTTAAAAAATCCACGCCTTTGGTGGTCCTTGAAAAAATATTCTTTTAAAAATCCATGCCTTTGTTGGGCCCCTGAAAAAATGTTGTTTAACAAATCTACGCCTTTGGTGGTCCTTAAAAAAATATTCTTTTAAAAATCCACGCCTTTGGTGGTCCTTTGAAAAAATATTCTTTTAAAAATCCACGCCTTTGGTGGTCCTTTGAAAAAATATTCTTTTAAAAATCCACGCCTTTGGTGGTCCTTGAAAAAATATTCTTTTAAAAATCCACGCCTTTGTTGGGCCCCTGAAAAAATGTTGTTTAACAAATCCACGCCTTTGTTGGGCCCCTGAAAAAATGTTGTTTAACAAATCCACGCCTTTGGTGGTCCTTGAAAAAACATTCTTTTAAAAATCCACGCCTTTGTTGGGCCCCTGAAAAAATGTTGTTTAACAAATCCACGCCTTTGGTGGTCCTTGAAAAAATATTCTTTTAAAAATCCACGCCTTTGGTGGTCCTTGAAAAAATATTCTTTTAAAAATCCACGCCTTTGGTGGTCCTTGAAAAAATATTCTTTTAAAAATCCACGCCTTTGGTGGTCCTTGAAAAAATATTCTTTTAAAAATCCATTGTTTTAAAAATCCACGCCTTTGGTGGTCCTTGAAAAAATATTCTTTTAAAAATCCACGCCTTTGGTGGTCCTTGAAAAAATATTCTTTTAAAAATCCATTGTTTTAAAAATCCACGCCTTTGGTGGTCCTTGAAAAAATATTCTTTTAAAAATCCACGCCTTTGGTGGTCCTTGAAAAAATATTCTTTTAAAAATCCACGCCTTTGGTGGTCCTTGAAAAAATATTCTTTTAAAAATCCACGCCTTTGGTGGTCCTTGAAAAAATATTCTTTTAAAAATCCACGCCTTTGGAGGTCCTTGAAAAAATATTCTTTTAAAAATCCACGCCTTTGGTGGTCCTTGAAAAAATATTCTTTTAAAAATCCACGCCTTTGGTGGTCCTTGAAAAAATTATCTTTTAAATGGCCCTTGAAAAAATATTCTTTATAAAAATCCACGCCTTTGGTGGCCCTTGAAAAAATATTCTTTATAAAAATCCACGCCATTGGTGGCCCTTGAAAAAATATTCTTTTGGTGGCCCTTGAAAAAAAAATTCTTTATAAAAATCCACGCCTTTGGTGGCCCTTGAAAAAATATTCTTTATAAAAATCCACGCCTTTGGTGGCCCTTGAAAAAAAAATTCTTTATAAAAATCCACGCCTTTGGTGGCCCTTGAAAAAATATTCTTTATAAAAATCCACGCCTTTGGTGGTCCTTGAAAAAATATTCTTTATAAAAATCCACGCCTTTGGTGGCCCTTGAAAAAATATTCTTTATAAAAATCCACGCCTTTGGTGGCCCTTGAAAAAATATTCTTTATAAAAATCCACGCCTTTGGTGGCCCTTGAAAAAATATTCTTTATAAAAATCCACGCCTTTGGTGGCCCTTGAAAAAATATTCTTTATAAGAATCCACGCCTTTGGTGGCCCTTGAAAAAATATTCTTTATAAAAATCCACGCCTTTGGTGGCCCTTGAAAAAATATTCTTTATAAAAATCCACGCCTTTGGTGGCCCTTGAAAAAATATTCTTTATAAAAATCCACGCCTTTGGTGGCCCTTGAAAAAATATTCTTTTGGTGGCCCTTGAAAAAATATTCTTTATAAAAATCCACGCCTTTGGTGGCCCTTGAAAAAATATTCTTTAAAAAATCCACGCCCTTGGTGGCCCTTGAAAAAATATTCTTTAAAAAATCCACGCCCTTGGTGGCCCTTGAAAAAATATTCTTTATAAAAATCCACGCCTTTGGTGGCCCTTGAAAAAATATTCTTTATAAAAATCCACGCCCTTGGTGGTCCTTGCAAAAATATTCTTTAAAAAATCCTCGCCTTTGGTGGTCCTTGAAAAAATATTCTTTAAAAAATTAAAGGCTTTGGTGGTCCTTGAAAAAATATTCTTTAAAAAATCCACGCCCTTGGTGGTCCTTGCAAAAAAAAAATCTTTAAAAAATTAACGCCTTTGGTGGCCCTTGAAAAAATTTTCTTTAAAAAATTAACGCCTTTGGTGGCCCTTGAAAAAATTTTCTTTAAAAAATCCACGCCCTTGGTGGCCCTTGCAAAAATATTCTTTAAAAAATCCACGCCTGTTTGTGGTCCTTGAAAAAATATTCTTTAAAAAATCCACGCCTGTTTGTGGTCCTTGAAAAAATATTCTTTAAAAAATCCACGCCTGTTTGTGGTCCTTGAAAAAATATTCTTTAAAAAATCCACGCCTGTTTGTGGTCCTTGAAAAAATATTCTTTAAAAAATCCACGCCTGTTTGTGGTCCTTGAAAAAATATTCTTTAAAAAATCCACGCCTGTTTGTGGTCCTTGAAAAAATATTCTTTAAAAAATCCACGCCTGTTTGTGGTCCTTGAAAAAATATCCTTTAAAAAATCCACGCCTGTTTGTGGTCCTTGAAAAAATATTCTTTAAAAAATCCACGCCTGTTTGTGGTCCTTGAAAAAATATTCTTTAAAAAATCCACGCCTGTTTGTGGTCCTTGAAAAAATATTATTGAAGAAATTTTCTTTAAAAAATCGAGGACTTTGGTGGTCCTTTCAAAAATATTCTTTAAAAAATCCACGCCTTTGGTCATCCTTGAGGAAATATTTATTTAAAAAATCCACATCTTGGTGGTCCTTAAAAAACATTAAAAATTATGGCTCTACTTACGGTGGACACATAAAGCTCATGATGGCTCGAATGCGATGCAATATGTGAGTCTGATTGGTTTTAAAAATCCGATCACTAATCTGCCGAAATTCATTGTGAGGATTTTCAAAACTGTTAATATCCAAACCAAAGATTACCGAACCGATGATGTCAATGGCATAGCTGGAAAACAAAAATACATTAAATTAATACAGCAATTTTTGTTGGTTTCGAAATCTCTTACGTTGTTGTAATATCCTTAATATCCACCAGCACTTTTCGTTGATCACCTTCAAACTGCCCCAAAATATATTCCACCATATGATTACCAACTTCATCGACTGTTCCGAACATGGCCTTTAATTTGCCACTTGAAAATGAGGGCGACAATTTTGTTCTCATGCTACGCCATGAATGTCCTTTAAGGCTAAATAAATTTGCAGACAGCGGATCTCTTTTCTCATTCACATAAACTCCACGATCATGAAAGTAATCAAAATCCTTGGTTAATATTTGGCGGGCCATTTCAGCATCCCTTATGAGAATGGCTGGCTTAAAGGCCAGCATGATGCCGACAACACTTTCCGAAAATCTCACATAAATATCGGTTATGGCCAAGCCCATAGTTTTTTCTTTACGAAATACCGCTTTGAGGGAGCCAAAGGGTATAACAGACTCTGCGGCTGCTATACCCTGACGTTGCCATTGTTGGTAGTGACGTTTTACGAATGTGTAGAGAAATATTAGCAGCGCTAATGTCAAATAGAAAAACATATTTATTTTTCTTCTTCAAATTTCGAAACAATTAAAAGTTGGCCGCCTCTTCACTTCGTCAATCGGCTACTGTTTTGCTACTGTTCAAATACAAATATTTTTTATTGGAGATTTCTTATCAACATTTGTATTAAATGTTTGCAGAATGCTTTGACCCCCTATGTGTGTGGTAGATAAGAAACTGAATATCAGATTTTTGTATACCCATTTTATAACTTCATAACTGCTGTAATTGTGAAATTTGTCTTATCTAATGTTTGACCGATACAACCCAAGCACAGTGTTTTATAGGTAAAATATAAACAAAATAAAGATTATTTTACAGGTGCATCGAACACAGTAGGCGTGGATTTTTAAAGAATATTTTTAAGGGTCTACCGCGGGCGCGGATTTTTTAAAGAATATTTTTTCAAAGCCCACCAAAGGCGTGGATTTTTTAAAGAATATTTTTTCAAAGACCACCAAAGGCGTGGTTTTTTAAAAGAATATTTTTTCAAGGACCACCAAAGGCGTGGATTTTTAAAAGAATATTTTTTCAAGGACCAACAAATGCGTGGATTTTTAAAAGAATATTTTTTCAAGGACCACCAAAGGCGTGGATTTTTAAAAGAATATTTTTTCAAGGACCACCAAAGACGTGGATTTTTAAAAGAATATTTTTTCAAGGACCACCAAAGGCGTGGATTTTTAAAAGAATATTTTTTCAAGGACCACCAAAGGCGTGGATTTTTAAAAGAATATTTTTTCAAGGACCACCAAAGGCGTGGATTTTTAAAAGAATATTTTTTCAAGGACCACCAAAGGCGTGGATTTTTAAAAGAATATTTTTTCAAGGACCACCAAAGGCGTGGATTTTTAAAAGAATATTTTTTCAAAGGACCACCAAAGGCGTGGATTTTTAAAAGAATATTTTTTTAAGGACCACCAAAGGCGTAGATTTGTTAAACAACATTTTTTCAGGGGCCCAACAAAGGCGTGGATTTTTAAAAGAATATTTTTTCAAGGGCCACCAAAGGCGTGGATTTTTATAAAGAATATTTTTTCAAGGACCACCAAAGGCGTGGATTTTTATAAAGAATATTTTTTCAAGGGCCACCAAAGGCGTGGATTTTTATAAAGAATTTTTTTTTCAAGGGCCACCAAAAGAATATTTTTTCAAGGGCCACCAATGGCGTGGATTTTTATAAAGAATATTTTTTCAAGGGCCACCAAAGGCGTGGATTTTTATAAAGAATATTTTTTCAAGGGCCACCAAAAGAATATTTTTTCAAGGGCCACCAAAGGCGTGGATTTTTATAAAGAATATTTTTTCAAGGGCCACCAAAGGCGTGGATTTTTATAAAGAATATTTTTTCAAGGGCCACCAAAAGAATATTTTTTCAAGGGCCACCAAAGGCGTGGATTTTTATAAAGAATATTTTTTCAAGGGCCACCAAAGGCGTGGATTTTTATAAAGAATATTTTTTCAAGGGCCACCAAAGGCGTGGATTTTTATAAAGAATATTTTTTCAAGGGCCACCAAAGGCGTGGATTTTTATAAAGAATATTTTTTCAAGGACCACCAAAGGCGTGGATTTTTAAAAGAATATTTTTTCAAGGACCACCAAAGGCGTGGATTTTTAAAAGAATATTTTTTCAAAGGACCACCAAAGGCGTGGATTTTTAAAAGAATATTTTTTTAAGGACCACCAAAGGCGTAGATTTGTTAAACAACATTTTTTCAGGGGCCCAACAAAGGCGTGGATTTTTAAAAGAATATTTTTTCAAGGGCCACCAAAGGCGTGGATTTTTATAAAGAATATTTTTTCAAGGACCACCAAAGGCGTGGATTTTTATAAAGAATATTTTTTCAAGGGCCACCAAAGGCGTGGATTTTTATAAAGAATTTTTTTTTCAAGGGCCACCAAAAGAATATTTTTTCAAGGGCCACCAATGGCGTGGATTTTTATAAAGAATATTTTTTCAAGGGCCACCAAAGGCGTGGATTTTTATAAAGAATATTTTTTCAAGGGCCACCAAAAGAATATTTTTTCAAGGGCCACCAAAGGCGTGGATTTTTATAAAGAATATTTTTTCAAGGGCCACCAAAGGCGTGGATTTTTATAAAGAATATTTTTTCAAGGGCCACCAAAGGCGTGGATTTTTATAAAGAATATTTTTTCAAGGGCCACCAAAGGCGTGGATTTTTATAAAGAATATTTTTTCAAGGGCCACTAAAGGCGTGGATATTTATAAAGAATATTTTTTCAAGACCCACTAAAGGCGTGGATATTTATAAAGAATATTTTTTCAAGGACTATCAGAAGAATTTTATTTCAAGGTCCATCACACTGATTGTATACTTTATATTTATTTTTAATTTATTTATTTTTATTCATTATTTTATTTAAGTATTGCCCAATTTTTGGCCCTATTTGGTACCCTGGATCCCATTACAGCAGACTTGAGGGAGATTGTCAGACGTACCATAGAATATCGTGAAAAACACGGTGTCGCTCGTAAAGATATCCTTCAACTCTTATTACAACTAAGAAATTCCGGCGAAGTTAGGGAGGATGACGATACGACCACCTGGCAGGTCGATGCTGTAGCTGAAAATCAAAAAACCATGTCAATTGATACAATTACTGCAAATCTATTTCTCTTCTATATTGCCGGTTCTGAAACAACATCCTCGACCATTGCCTACACCCTCTACGAATTGGCTATGTATCCAGAAATATTACAACGTGTCCAAGCCGAAGTTCTCCGGTGTCTGGAAAGAAATAATCTCAAGCGATGGGATAATTTGTCCTATGATATTTTACAGGAGATGCCATATTTGGATCTGTGTATAATGGGTAAGTTGGAGCTATGAATACAAAATAAAAACAAAGATAATATTTAATTTTTTTCTTCTAGAAACCACTCGCAAATATCCCGGCCTACCCATTTGGAATCGTGAATGCACGAAGGACTATCGTTTAAGCCACAATGATTTTGTCATAAAGAAGGGCACAGCCATAATAATACCCATTATGGGTATTGGTCGAGATGCAAAATATTTTCCCCAACCCATGGATTACAAACCGGAACGTTATGCCGAGGAGAAGGATCGAAATAATATGACTGCTTTCATGCCATTTGGTGATGGTCCACGATATTGTATTGGTAGGTCCAAAATTGGTATAGTATGGTCTAAATAATTCATACTATGTGCGTGTCTTCTCTTTTCAGCTAAGCGAATGGGCATTATAAATGTGAAAGCTGCTTTGGTAAAAATCTTAGCAAATTTCAATATTGAAACACAGCCACGTAAGGAGATTGAATTTAAATTTCACTCTACGCCCGTGTTAATGCCTAAGGAAGGTTTGAAAATAACACTTGTGAAAAAGTACTAATAAAAATATTTAAATAAAATGTTTTATGAAAAATATATATTCAAGGATTAGCGGAATTAATTTTAAAGGACCACCAAAGGTGTGGATTTTTTAAAGAATATTTTTTCAAGGACCACAAACAGGCGTGGATTTTTTAAAGAATATTTTTTCAAGGACCACAAACAGGCGTGGATTTTTTAAAGAATATTTTTCAAGGACCACGAATAGGCGTGGATTTTTAGAGAATATTTTTCAAGTGACACCAAAGGCGTGGATTTTTTAAAGAATATTTTTCAAGGACCACAAATAGGCGTGGATTTTTTAAAGAATATTTTTCAAGGACCACAAATAGGCGTGGATTTTTTAAAGAATATTTTTCAAGGATCGCAAATAGGCGTGGATTTTTTAAAGAATATTTTTCAAGGATCGCAAATAGCCGTGGATTTTTTTAAGGATATTTTTCAAGGATCGCAAATAGGCGTGGATTTTTTAAAATATTTTTCAAGGACCACAAATAGGCGTGGATTTTTTAAAGAATATTTTTTCAAGGACCACAAATAGGCGTGGATTTTTTAAAGAATATTTTTTCAAGGACCACAAACAGGCGTGGATTTTTTAAAGAATGTTTTTTTCAAGGACCACAAACAGGCGTGGATTTTTTAAAGAATATTTTTTCAAGGACCACAAATAGGCGTGGATTTTTTAAAGAATATTTTTTCAAGGACCACAAACAGGCGTGGATTTTTTAAAGAATATTTTTTTCAAGGACCACAAATAGGCTTGGATTTTTTAAAGAATATTTTTTTCAAGGACCACAAATAGGCTTGGATTTTTTAAAGAATATTTTTTTCAAGGACCACAAATAGGCTTGGATTTTTTAAAGAATATTTTTCAAGGACCACAAATATGCGTGGATTTTTTAAAGAATATTTTTCAAGGACCACAAATAGGCGTGGATTTTTTAAAGAATATTTTTCAAGGACCACAAATAGGCGTGGATTTTTTTCAAGGCCTTCTACAGGCGTGGATTTTTAAAGAATTGTTTTTTCGAGGCCTTCTTAAGGCGTGTAGTTCTAAATAATATTTTTTCGAGCCCTTCAAAAGGAGTGGATTTTTAAAGAATATTTTTTCGTGGCCTTCTGATACTTTTTAAAAGGACGACAGAAGTCTTAGATTTTTGAAAGAATAATTTTTTCAAAGACCACCGAAGTCTTAGATAAAAAAAATTTTTTTAAGTTTATAATTTTGGCACTACTGAACACTTTCCAAAAAAAATCCAAGCCTGTAAACAAAACTTAAAATTAATCCCCACTCACTTCTGAAAATTCAAGCAACGTAACGCCCTTGGTTTTAATTCATTTCGCAGAGCTCATTTCATTCACGCATCTGCTATGAACGAATGTCTGATTTACATCCCCAACAAGAGCTATGATAAGCGTGAACTTATTTCCATTATCGACAAATTGGAGGCATAATGCGAAATACCACCAACCGGCTGTTGTTAAATGAATGAATGCATCATTGGCGGCTTCATCCGCATCATCATTATCATTCAACTCCCAAAAAAACTCGAGATGAAATTGCAGTAAAGATGGCTTAAGGTCTTTGAAATGGTTTCATATACATACATTTATACATTGATATATACATACATATGTATGAAAGTTACATGGGAATTGTGTTCTTAATTAAAATTAACCCTTTTTGATTAATTGCCCTTGCCGTCCGTCGTCGTCCGCCCTAACAACATGACTTTTTTTTGTCGTAATAAAGTGTTGACAATTAAGAAGACAATTATTGAAACACAACAGGGCATGATCTACGAAAATTAAAAAAGCAAAAACAACAAAAAGTACAGAACTCACAATGCACAATTCCAATTATAGGGGTCTGCTTTCTTTGCCCATAAGCGATGATTACAAGCCGCGTTTTTATAGATCTCTTTTTATTCGCCATTAAATGAATATTAAGCGAATATTGCCGTTGTTGTTGTTGCGTGAAATAATGGCCTTAAGCAGTTGACAATAAACTTTTTTTAATTATTATTATATTTTTTCTCATTTCATTTTTTTAACGTAAAATATAGTTTTCATTCATATATGAAAGTTTCAAAGTGAATGGATGGATTTCACATAAAAATCGTAAAGTACATGAAGATATAAAAGTCATGATTATATGCGAGAATCAAAAACCATTAATCGAAATTCTTAATTGAACATAAAAAAATATATTGAGGGCAAATTATTATGTATTAAATATGAAATTCCACAACACTTGCGGATTGATTTTTTCATTAGGAAACAATGTTGAAATTTATTCCATGATTTTTATTTTTTAATTAAATTATTTAAAATGCAAAAAATCGTATCATTCTTAGACCTTTGGATTAAAAAATGAAGGCATACTAAGTGGAGGGGATTGGTAAATCGTATTTTTTCGATGTCTACTACAGAAATAAACACTAAAGATCAGCTTAATTTTCGAAACAATATTTTTTTCAAGATCTATGAAGACGTTGGTTCTTACATATTTATATCCTACACAACAATGTTGTCAGTGTATTGTAGCTTTGTGCAGCCCCAAGAGTTTGTAACGCCGCGAAACATTGATCCTAGACCCACCTTTAAGTATACCGATCGTCATATCTCGACTAGCTGAGTCGATCTAGGCATGTGTGTCCGTCCGTCTGTCCATTTTAATTTGTAAACACGATACAGGACCCAGTTATGGACCAATCTTCACGAAATATTGCATGTAGGATGGGTTCTGCCCAATGAAGACCCCTATTGTTTTTGCTGAAGATCAGTTACTATTTAGGGGATGAAATGGACCAACAACTTTATTTTTGTCTGATTTTCTGGTCGCTCCAGAGGCCTCAATTATGACCCAAACATTGCGAATTTTTGCATGGAGAAGGGGATCGGGTCAAAGAATAAGCATGTCTATTTTGATAAAGATCGGCCAATATTTAGCGGGTCAAATGGTCCCTGACTTTTGTGTGAAACATTACAAAATTTGTATTCTATAGCGTATATATTTACCCCTGAAGGACATAGACCAGAGGAGTTGAAAACATATACAAGGGGAGTGGTCGACCTTTAAATTGATACCAATTTTATTGTCGTATGTAATCGGGTGTGGGAGATACACTTAAGTATTTACAGGTGCTTACGTATTCAGATATTATTTAGTAAGCCATTACCACACCAGAGAGCGGTAATATATTTTGAAATTTTTCATGAGGATCCAGGTATGGTCAAGGACAACGCCTAGAATTTTCGGTGATAATCAGATAATAATTTTGGGATGAACTGGACCGAAAACATTTGCAAGATTGTGTAAATAACGCGAAATATTTCCCAAGCTCAGAATATAGAAGAACAGGAAGTTCGATTTTCGTGGAAGTTGTGTAGGGTATCATATGGTCGGCCACGTCCGACCATATTTAAAGTCAGTCGGTGCTACCTACAGTTAACTTCAGCCTATGACTTACGGAAGTCTACGGAATTACACATAGGTTTTAGTTAGGTTAGTTTATATGAGATATATTTTTTATGAAAGAGTTGGCCATCTTCGGACTTGATTTAAGTTTGTTATAAATATTAACTTCTCTAGAAATTTGATTAACAAATTTTGTGCGGAATGTACCTGAAATAGTAGACCGATTGGTCCCATATTCGAACATAATCGAAGTACGGTAAGAATATTACGTTGTGCAAAATTTCGATGAAATTGGATATTCAGTTCGCTGCACATGCGATTTACACGTTTTCAGAATGTTGACCCATTGTGGGAGAAGTACTAGAAGGAGTGGACAGTTTGGTCGCATTTTTAGTTTCGATGAAAGTGAATGAGCTACCCGAAGAAGTAGACCAATGCATTCCACCTTCTGAGTAAATCTAGTCAATCTGTAAAGTTTGAATGCAACTTCGCTTCATATTAAATTTATACATTTTCATAATTTTGACTCCTTGTGGGGTAGCTACTAAGTGGTCCGATAACTCCGTTCTTCAAACATTATACTTGTTTGGTTAAAGAATTAGGATGTGTAAAGGTTGGTTTAAATCGAATGCTCCGCTCGCATGATATTATATAATCAATTTTCAGCAGATTTTTGACCATTTTGTGTGTGACGTACAAGAAGAAGTGGACCTATTAGCCCCGTCTACCCGAAATCGGGTACCATTTCATAGGGGGTGACGGAAAACGTGAACCAATGCATGGATATTTTGTGAGAGATTAAATTTTGAATAATCAAAACATGGACCAATTTCCATACCAGTAGTTGTTTTTTTATACCCTTCACCATAGTATGGAGGGTGTATTAGTTTTGTTTTTCCGTTTGTAACGCATCGAAATAATCATTTCCGACCCTATAAAGTATATATATTCTTGATCAGCGTAAAATTCTATAATTTGATCATGTCCGTTTGTTGTAATCACTTTAGCGTCTAACGAAATGAAATAGATCGCCACAATTTTGCATAGAGTCGTTTTTTATCTGCAGGCAGATGCAGTTCGAAGATAGGCTATACCGGTCCACGTTTAGACATAGCTCCCATATAAGGGTACCCCCAAATTTCGGTATTTTGAGGTTTTTGAGAGCGTTTCACCCGAATTCGCTGAAATTTGGTACTGAGAGTTCTTATTAGGTAGTAAATCTCCCCACTAAAAATTATAAATATAAGTCCACTTCTTCTGGTAATCCCCATATAACGGTACACCCCAATGTTCGGTATTGTGAGGATCTTGAGCGCGTTTTTCAACCGAATTCGCTGAAATTTGGTATCTTGAGTTCTTACTGGGTAGCAAATCTCCCCGCTAAAAATTATAAATATAGGTCCATTTTTTCGGTAATTTAGTCTTCTTGGGAGCGTTTTATAACCGAATTCGATGAAATTTGGTACATTGGGTACTTATTGCGTACAAAATTACTTCACTAAAAATTATAAATTATAAGTCCACTCTTTTTGGTAGTCCCCATATCGTATTTAGTCTGATCGTATTTATCGACGAATTGG